TCCTCTTCTCTCTGGGGTTGCCAAATCAAGCAGATCCTGATGGAACCAAGCAGTCCAGGACAAGTGGTTTCTTTCAAGTTTGAGCAGAAGTCTGGACCTTTTGCATCTTCTCTGGGCACAGAGGCCTTGGCATTTGCCTGATTTCCTTCACGCGTGGCAGATCATGATTATTAAGTAGCAGACAGCTTTGTTAGCAGCATATTGTCAGCTGGCAGGGGCTTTTTCTCCAGGAGCAGAGATATTGACTCTGTTTCTTAGCCTCCTGGGATGCGCTATCAAAAGTTTGCTGAAATAATATAGATCATTGTTAGTGCAGTCCTTCCAAACAGAGATAAAGCTGCCTTCAAAGGAGCGGCTGTCAGAGCTATCTCAACAGCCTGGGATATATAGGAAGGAATGAATGAATGAGAGAGAAAGATAAATGCTAATATAAAAATACTTGGGCATGCAGAAGTCTATTGCTCAGGCTCCTTACTGAGCCTGCACTGTGACACAGCGTGAAATAAAGATGGCATTTTTAAATAAGTAATGTGGCCTTTCGAAGCAAATTCCCTTCCTTGGGAGGGGGGAGATAAAGGTCTGCCCCAAAGGGGCTTCCCTTTCAGTTTTGTATATAAAATTTCCAAAATTTGCACTCTGCACCTTCAGCACCATTTGCTGTTCCCAGGGTGGCATATGAGAAGATTTGATAAAACCGCAACAGTGTATTGCTATGCAAGATTGTCATCTTTAAATGACAGCAATAAAACAACAGTGCAACACAGATTTTTTGATTTTTTATTTTAAATCCTCTAGTCCCTATTGAACTTCTGGCTCTGGACAAAGACTCTTCCATTTCAGGAGGTGTTTAAAAGAAATCATTTATGAGTTATTTCAATTGATCTTATTCACATGGGCATAACCAGGATTTAGTTTTTTTTGGGGGGGGGTAGGCTTTATGTGGGGGGTGGGCAGTATCGAGTTATTTGTGACACAACTGGTCAAGTATTTTTATTTTATTTTCTTTTACTGCCCCCCTGGCTACGCCCATGCTTATTCATTGTATTAAAAAACCCCCACACTTTTGATGTACACTCCATAGAAACTTTGGCAATTAGGTTATATATGAGTAGTTTAAATAAAAATTAGAAATAAACATTGGAAGTGTGCATGTCTACTTAGAAAGAAAGTCCCACAGAGTAAAATGGGGCTTTACTCCCAAGCAAGCATGCCTACAATTGCAGCATTAAGTTCTAAGGCTGCAAGTCCTATGTGGGCCGACTTGGGAGTGAACTCAATGGGACTTTAGTGGCTGGGGAAACCCAGCCAGATGTGTGGGATATTATTATTATTATTATTATTATTCAGTTATCCACAAGGTAACACTGTCAATAGGTAAAAAATCCTGAGGAAAGGCCTCCTTCTGTAATGATAGGATTCTGTAAACTAAAACCAAGCTCAATGTGATACTCAACCAGCATACTCAGATGTTCAGCAAAGGACAGTCCCCCTATTTTCCAGGGACAGTCCCGGATTTACAGAAACCATCCCAATTTGATCCTGAAATGTCCTGCTTTTCCTTAGGACATCCCTATTTCCTTTGGAAAAATACTGGAGGGTATGCAGTTCAATTTTTCTCTTGATACTGTTTCATGATACAAGCAATTTTTAGTGCTTTGGAAGAAGAATTTTCCATTGTCCATCCTGAACCTAATGTGTGATGGCTGTCTTCCCAGCTATCTGCAAAATACCCTCTTATTTGCTTCCTCCCCGCCCTTTATGCTTCATCCTAAACAAGACTCAATCCCTCTCACCTTGATGGATTGGCTGCCATGGGCCTTACTTTCTTCCAAATATATCCACTGACTCATGCTGATAAACACTAGCAGAGGAAGACAAGCTTCGGGGTGTGAATTACAGCTCTTCTTTTTTTCACAGCACAGTGAGTGATAGCAGAGCCTTGTCATCATTTTATAAACAGAGGATTTCGATACACATCCTCCTGGGTTGGAATTTGGGGGCCGAGATGTTCCATTATCCTGGGAAAGTGCTGATATCCCCGGTAATGCGCTAAGAGTTTAACTTTTGGCAGTGGTTTGCCCGGAACCAATCCCAAACATTCTGCATTGTGTCCTCATACTTTATTACCTCTCTACCGGCAGCAGGATCCAATCTCAAGAACATGGAGCTTTTAATATTACTCTTCCCCCGGAGAGGATGAGAGCTGCCTTGTGTATTTATGAATTTATTTATAAGGGAAGAATTTGACATTTGGCATTAAGGATGCTCCCCAGATTCTCTTCCTCCCAACTTCTCCCTGTATTTTGGAATTACGCTGTCTTGTTTCCAAAGCGCAACAAACCCATTAATAATCTTGCATTGCTCCATTAAAAAAAAAATTACAGAGCACTGAGCATGCAAAACTCACAGCAGTCTCTTCAGCATATCTCCTTTCTTCCTCTACATTTCTGACATGTGCACTGATGAAACACAAGGGAAATTTGCCACTTAGTTCTGTTTTTTAGTGTTATGGTTAGCTGTACCCTTCTGCCTGATACTCTGAAATATACTCGGAGTCGAGTGTGGTTTTTATGCTCTTTATTCAGCTCATAGTAGTGAGGAATGAAAGTTCCCCCAAAATATCTGCTTTATATACATTATTTACACAATGGGCCGCAGGTGATTGGCTAATTCCTGGATTCTCCTGTAGGCCAATCAGGTTGTGGATTCACTTCCACCTGGAGCTGGATTGGGGGGCTCCTGCGGACCAATCAGACTGCTGCATTGTTCTAGGACCAATCAGACTGCTGCATTTTGGATCCTATTGTTCTAGGACCAATCAGACTGCTGCATTTTGGATCCTATTGTTCTAGGACCAATCAGACTGCTGCATTTTGGATCCTATTCGACTCAGTACATAACATACTCCATTCCATTTCACTTCCCCCACCTGGTTTTCCATTTCACTCTATCAGCAGTCAGTTAACATTCTGTGGCCACCGAGCATGCCCAATTGTTTGACATTATTTTGGGTCACCCCCTCTTTAAAAAAAGGTACTGTATGCCTGCAAACCTCAGGGTTCCCCGAGTTTTGCTGATACCTTCCTCCTGCGTGTAGGTGGTGTTGTTTTAGCTGCATTATGCACCTGAAAATTGGAAACAGAATGGTGCAAAAAAAAGCAATCTTAATGTGATTGTGCATAATATTATGTTATTTTAATTTATTTAATTCCTATCCCTCTCTTCCCCACAAAGGGGCCCATCAATATGTCTTTTGTATTCCGTTTTATCAATTCCTTTTCCTCCCTACACTTGCCCCAGCTGAATGAAGAAGGAAGTGGTGATTGTGATATTGGTATCTGCCCACCCACAATATCATTGGGCATTTGTGAATACACCCACCCATCGCTAGGACCACTTTGATCTGTTTTCAAATAGATGCACCGTGGGGTAATGCAGAATCCATCTACAATGAGCTTTTCTTTTCAGAACGAAACCGGTTTTTAAAGAAGCTCTTTTCAGAGGTAAAAAAAATTATGCAACAAATTCAGCTTGTGTAGAAACAAAATAAAAAAACTCCTTCCAGTAGCACCTTAGAGACCAACTAAGTTTGTTATTGGTATGAGCTTTCGTGTGCATGCACATTACTTCAGATACACTGAAACAGAAGTCACCAGACCCTTATATATTGTGAGAGGGTGGGGAGGGGTATTACTTGTGTAGAGACTTTGTAAAAAACAACAACACCCACAAGTAGTCAGTGAGTCTAGAACACAATAATTCTAGAATAAAATGCTGTGTGTCTATTCAGCTACATAACTCTAGTATAGGATTGCACTATTAAATAATAATCATTAGACCATCCTATTTTGTTCAGTTTTCTGAGCGCCCCTGATTTGATGATCAGCTGTTCAGAAGTCCCACTGTGTTCTGCCCCCTTCCACTATCTGTTGTATGTTTTCCCCATTCTCCACCAGTGATTATTCAGCTTTGCGGCTGGCGAAGGAATGTCCTCAGAACAAATTCCCGTAGACAGTTTTGTGCAGTAATTAGCATACTGACAGGGTTGGAGCATGCAGGAAAAAGCAACCCAAAGGGAAGCTAATGAAGTCAGAAGACCGCATGTTGCCACCCCATGAACTGGAGAGGAGAGGAAGGAGAGAGCCACCTGCCTTGAACATGTCCCAGGGGCCACTGCATCAAATGCAGAGAAAGCAAATTTGTTTAAGAAGCCAGAGACTCCAGATATTTTGCCCTATTTGTTGTCAAAGAGACTAATTAGGTCAATGTAGGCCTCGTCAAATGGGGATGCTGCTTGCCTTTGTTCTGTTTACTGTACTATAGATATCCTGCCAGACAGCAAAAGATGGAGCTCAGCATAACCACAGACTGTGTTCATTGTACCTGTCTCTTCCCTCCCTCCGACATTTCCCTGATTAAATGGCTTCTATCTTAAGTTATAAGTATGTAAGAAGAGCCCTACTGGATCAAGCCAAAGTCCTGTTTAGTCCAGCACCCAGTTCTCACTGTTGCCAACCAGATGCCTATGGAAAGCTCAAAAGCAGGACTTGAGTGGAAGACCAACTCTTCACACTTTTCCCACAACATGTATATTTTTATACCTTTCTATCATGTGCTTGCGGGACGCAGGTGGCGCCGTGGGTTAAACCACAGAGCCTAGGACTTGCCGATCAGAAGGTTGACGGTTCGAATCCCCGCGACGGGGTGAGCTCCCGTTGCGCAGTCCCTGCTCCTGCCCACCTAGCAGTTCGAAAGCACGTCAAAGTTCAAGTAGATAAATAGGTACTGCTCCGCGGGAAGGTAAACGGCGTTTCCGTGTGCTGCTCCGGTTCGCCAGAAGCGGCTTAGTCATGCTGGCCACATGACCCGGAAGCTGTACGCCGGCTCCCTGGGCCAATAAAGCGGATGAGCGCCACAACCCCAGAGTCGGTCATGACTGGACCTAATGGTCAGGGGTCCCTTTTCTTTATCATGTACTTGCAGGGAGTCCCAAACTTGGGTCTCCAGCTGTTTTCAGACTACAGTTCCCATCATCCCTGACCACTGCCTTGCTAGCTAGGGATGATGCGAGTTGTAGTCTAAAAACAGCTGAAGACCCACTGCTTTTAAAGGGTGAGATTCAGTGCCGTGTCATCTTATGAAGGCAACATCAGAAGTCACACACCTTATGGGAGATTCCCATACTGTAGCTGCTTGCCATGTCACCATTTCCCCTCCTCAAAGCTAAGCTCCTCCCAGATGGCCTGAGGCTTTTGATATTTACATCTGGAAGATGAGTTGGAGCCATTCAGCAGCTCCCACCATGAAGATACCACTAGTGGAAGGTCCTTTGTTGTTGCTTAGTCGTGTCCGATTCTTCGTGACCCCATGGACCAGAGCACGCCAGGCACTCCTGTCTTCCACTGCCTCCCACAGCTTGGTCAAACTCACGTTGGTAGCTTCGAGAACACTGTCCAACCATCTCGTCCTCTGTTGTCCCCTTCTCCTTGTGCCCTCCATCTTTCCCAACATCAGGGTCTTTTCCAGGGAGTCTTCTCTTCCCATGAGGTGGCCAAAGTATTGGAGCCTCAGCTTCAGGATCTGTCCTTCCAGTGAGCACTCAGGGCTGATTTCCTTCAGAATGGAGAGGTTTGATCTTCTTGCAGTCCATGGGACTCTCAAGAGTCTCCTCCAGCACCATAATTCAAAAGCATCAATTCTTTGGCGATCAGCCTTCTTTATGGTCCAGCTCTCACTTCCATACATCACGATTGGGAAAACCATAGCTTTAACTATACGGGCCTTTGTTGGCAAGGTGATGTTTCTGCTTTTTAAGGTGCTGTCTAGGTTTGTCATTGCTTTTCTCCCAAGAAGCAAGCGTCTTTTAATTTCGTGACTGCTGTCACCATCTGCAGTGATCATGGAGCCCAAGAAAGTAAAATCTCTCCCTGCCTCCATTTCTTCCCCTTCTATTTGCCAGGAGGTGATGGGACCAGTGATGGGAGATGAAGGTCCTAAGGATGCACAAAGCATCATTGTTTACAGAAGACTTTGTTAGCAAAGTCACTAAAAACATAGATGGAGTCCAGAGAGAAAAGTCGCAATAGCTGTTTACTAAGCAAACTGAATGAAAACAGTGTTTAATTTGAGGATAAAGGAACAGAGAGCTTTCGACTGTCAGTACAGGCCTTGTATATGGCAGGGAAACATACACATCAAGGAAAAATCTCCTCTATCCCTTCTGGGCTACTTGACTTTAACATTAACAGAATTAACCCTTAAGTTACAAAATGAAGGATCCCTGCTGTTGCCTTTATAACAGACTTAGCATTCTTTATTTCTCCTCTATTTTCAGAAGCAGAAATTGGGTGTTTTCTGCCTGTTTCTGATTCCCTCTTGTTTTGGAGACCAAGGGCTGATCAATGTGCTAGCAAAAGCCATTCCAGCCAGGGATTTATCTCCCTCTTAAGAATGAGGCATCGTGCCACTCCACATTTTCAGTTCAGCATGGACAGAATTGTTCCAGGACAAATTATGGATGGCAGCCCAGTGCCTGCTCGCGCTTTTCTTCTTATGCAGGGGGAGGCACAGCCTCAATCCCATATTATAGCTCGATAATGAGCATGATTTTATTTCCATTTCATTTTCTTCCCCATCACCAGATTTGCCTTTGTCTTCCGTCCTCTTTACAAATGTTAATTCTAGCTAATATCTCAACTGTAGTCATTTCCCTGCATTGTCATTTGCAAGAGAACCGCTCTGTTATTTTTTGCAAAAAAAAGAAGAAGTAGGAATTAACAATGTGCTGAAGCAGCTGCAATGTGCCGAGAAAGCTACAAATAAATGACTGATGAAGACGACCAGGATAATAATCATCTATTCTGCAAAAAAATAAAAAATAAAAAAAGTTGCCTGAACTAGTTGCCAGCTAAGTCCTGACTTGATATGTTCCCCAAGTAAACTTATTTAAGTGCTTCTGGAAATTTCAAGTTAAAAATAATATGACAAGAGCTGTCATATTAACCCTCAGGGTGATTTCACACTAGGCATTTTGTGGGGAGCTGCCATGCTTAATTCAGTCCCATTTTATGGGGCAGCTACATGACACCGGGTGCCACACAACTGTCAGAATTTTGCAGAGTGGGGTTCCAATGGCATATTATAGGTTTGTGAACTTAAATTGGACTCCTCCAGAGGTTCTTTTTATTGTGCATTCATGATGATTTGTACTCATGATGGTATCTGGGGTGGTTATAGGTGACCCCAACTTTCAACACTATTTGTGCCCGTAAATGTACTGCTTGGTTTCCAGTCGGCGCTTGTCCCATAGCTTCCTTCTGAAATCTCATCACTTTTCATTCCACAAATGTTCCGACTTCTTCTGTCCCGCTTTGTTGCCGTGTAGCACAAGTGTGTCCCTGCTGATGGCAATAATGCAGTAACACTGGGGTAGCGTCGCAGAACAACTAATCAAATTGAATGATGTGAGGAAGGTGTATTAAAAATTGGTGGGGAAAATCTGCAGCTCTGATGACAATTTATGTTCACTGTACAAGTATGTCAAGGGGTTAAGACTCACAGAGAGCTGAATTCCTAGAGAGAACACCTCTTTGATGTCATTTCCCTTGAATCCTGTGGCGGGAAACTTAAACAAAGGATTTTAATCCTTCGTATTTCCTCTTCTCAGGTCGTCCTTTTTCATTTGCCTGCTGATGGAGATGGATGTGTAGTTGGATGTGTAGAGCAAACACCAACTCTGCACATTTTAGAATGTAGAAAGTGACTTTTAAAAAATCGCTGCTTGCCTCATATTCTTCCATGTGCTTTGCTGAATCCAAGCAAGACTTAAATGTGAGGAAATGTTGTATTCTCTTATTACAGAGTCTGTTGCTTGAACGCTTTTGTAGGAGGGAAAGAATGGGAGGGAAATCCAATCCTTATTTAAAGGCATACCTATCTAATTATTAGTTTCAGAAATACTATGCAAACCAAACACATCCAGCCTTTGAAATCTGAATTTTGCAATGCACTTCTTCAGCCAAGGAATGTACACGAAAAGGCATATACTGGGGTCAAATGTGCATCAAAATGCATCTATTCATGAAAATAACATGCACAATGCACTATATATAGGTAGTGCTTTTGTTCCCTGAGGGTACTCAATGGTACGGTGTACCAGAACCTTAAAAATATTAAAAGTATGGCACTTACTGTGACAACTTCATGTTATATAAATATTAGGGAACGCATGCTTCATAAAATGTGTATCTAAGGCAAAACTGCATGCAAAAAAACTGCATGCTAAGGGGGAAATTGCACTAAAATGCTGATGAATTTCCGTAAGTTTTTTAAAAAAATAAATAATTTGCAAGCTGATTTGGAAATATGGAGAACAGAGCCTAAGATTGGCAAGATGAGGGAATGTAATTGACAGGTTTGCCCACCCTTGGTTTTCTGGAGAGCGGCTCTTGACCCACTCACCACCTCCTTGGGTCACTTATACTTGTAGCATAGCTGCCAGCCTCTTTGTTTCATGGTGCCTCAGGCTTCCTCCTAACTATGTTGTGCACAGGTAAACTTGGATAAAGCAGTCATATGAATTGCTTGTCACTGAAAGTAAGTAATAGGTGACGCTCCAACTTGCAGTCTATGAGCTTTGTGGATTGTCAGATGCTACCTTCCCCAAATGCTGGAGGAGACTCTTGAGAGTCCCGTGGACTGCAAGAAGATCAAACCTCTCCATTCTGAAGGAAATCAGTCCTGAGTGCTCACTGGAAGGACAGATCGTGAAGCTGAGGCTCCAATACTTTGGCCACCTCATGAGAAGAGAAGACTCCCTGGAAAAGACCCTGATGTTGGGAAAGATTGAGGGCACAAGGAGAAGGGGATGACAGAGGACGAGATGGTTGGACAGTGTTCTCAAAGCTACGAACATGAGTTTGACCAAGCTGTGGGAGGCAGTGGAAGACAGGAGTGCCTGGCGTGCCCTGGTCCATGGGGTCATGAAGAGTCAGACACAACTAAATGACTAAACAACAACAACGCCCTCCCCAAATGCCCCATCCATGTCTAGGTGTGTGCAAAATAGAAATGAAAGAGAGCTGGTCTTCCTGCTGCTCTCTGGGTTTGCAAAGAAGGAAGTGTACAGGGAGAAACATTTCAAAGAAAGAAAGACGTGGCCTTTTATAATATGCACATTCTTCCTAGAAGCACAAATGCATCTCAGGGGGACATTTGGCAATCTTTACTAAGCTATTGGATTAGCTGCCACTGTGACACGCAGAAGGGACGCATTGCCTTCCAGCTAATTCAGTCATAGGCTCATTTGGCTTGCTAGTTAATTTGATCAAGACCCCCCTGGAAGCAGCCATTTGCATTTGGGGTATCAAATGGCTTCACTCCCATCTTGTGATCCATTCGGACCTAATTCACTTTTCGATAACATCTAGGGCAAAAAAGCAGGCATTAGATTTAGAGCACTTTTTTTTACCAGTGGAGTCTGATCAATTACTGCGCCACCAACCTCGGTCTCCCTCAGCCAACTCCCACCTGCCTGCTTTCTTACTTACAACGAATCCAGGTGGTGGCACTGCCTGTCAGCTTCCTCGTCCTCGTACTCCTCTGTCCCTTGTAGATCTCAGCAGGGGGAAGGACCTGTCACTGGCTCTGGCGCCCCGTACTGTTGGACCTCCTGCATTCTGCCCTATCAGTCCCAGTGGGCACCAGCCACCAATGGGGAAGAAATATGAGCGCCCCACAAGCAAATCAGGACGAATGTTCAATAAAGATAGGATCTCATCTAACTTCTGTGTAAGCGTTGTGCAAGCACTTGAGGCTGGGTGCTGAATAAATAGGTCATTTGGAGGAGCCTGCAACCAACAACAGCAAACAACTGCAGCTGGAAGATCACCATTCAGCACCAGCTTTCTCTGGCGAAGTGTGGATGCTAATCACAGTCAATAAGGCATCTCCATTTTCTTTTCTTAGTGCAAAAAAAAAAAAAAAGCCTCGGTGTGAATGTACTCTTTGTCCTCTAAGTCATGCCAGATCTGGGCTACTTTCTGACTGGTTTCTAGAACAATTGGAGGGGCCTGAATCTCTCTACAGTCCTTCTGG